AGAGAGTTCCTGGTAAACTAGTAAAAATTTGAAGAAAAATATGATGTCAATCATTTTCATTAAATTTACATCAGATTTACATCATTTTGGACACTTGCATCATATTTACATCAAATTTACAACATTTTCAAGACTTAGTGCGCGATTTTTTTCCGTGGTCTAGTATAAGTTGAGTATTTATTTTTATAAAATGTTTGATATATAATATATAACGCGCGCTCTGATTGGCTGACGACCCTGTTTATATCAGAGGACAGAGATACGGCTTACCGGCAAAATGTTCTTTTCGCTCGAAAAATTTTACAAAAGAAATATGAAACGGCCGCTTGTGTCTCTGTCCTCTGATATAAACACGGTGGGAGTTGAAACACACTCGAGAAGCAAGAGAAACACTAGCTACGCTCGTGTTCCTAAGCTTACTTTCTCTCGTGTTTTTCGAACTCTGCTCCCACCRTGTTTATATCAGAGGACAGAGACGCGCGCGCCGTTTTATATTCTTAAATCAAACATGGTTTTCGACCAATCACAGCGCGCGTAGTATCCTAAATATTTTAGAAATAATAATAATAATAATAATAATGAAAACTTGTATAGCGCATAAAGTATGATTAATTTATTAAAAGAAAAATATTTAATTCGGCAATAACGGTGCGAGCCCGTACTTCCTGGCGCGCATAGTATGCGATACCAAAGTACCGTTTGGACTAATTGAACTCGATTGAAAATTTATGAAAGATATAAAGATGAGAGGATCGAGATCAAAAGAGAAAGTTTCTCAAAAGAATCAAAATYCACCAATCAGAATATTTTGATTGTACCAAACAGCCAATCAKATCAAAGGTATGTAAAGTCAATGATGCATGGCCTTTCATTCTGAGTTGGCGCCATTTTGAATATTAGCTGTGCATGGGATAACTTGTTGAACATTTTCTACTTAATAATAAGAAACAACGCTATCAGGCAGCGCATTCTAACCTAATGGAGTCTGATGCAGGATATTTGTCGGAGCTCCTTGCAGAGAAGGACAGTTTAGACCCKTCCTTTGTGCACGGTATGCGTCTGTTAACAAGAGGTGAGTACATTCCACTACCAGTGCTTGTCGAGGACTGCATGGTGGCGATGTAATTTATTTATGTTAACCCACTTCTTAGGCATAGAATTATTTTCTAATAACAACTCAAAGCAACTTTGATTAGATGTTACCTCTAGGTTGATTTGATTGGAATTTTTAAGTTCAAAACAATGACTTTCACACGCTTTCAGAGAACCTTCGCGAAATGACCGCCTTGCTTTCTTGATCTTGGCGTCTTAGCAAAATTGGAATGCGTCTCAAACAGAAAACTCAAACATTGGACTAACAATTGTCTGRGCAATAATCAWGATTTGGCAAATTGACATTARCCTTTGCTTTGTTTRTTAATCACTCCTTTTGGATCAATTSGGAACTCAATCTCAAAAACATTCAAAAGCAAAAACTCCGTTGTGCCACCGGTCGACTTCTTGAGTAAATATCCTTACCTATTTAAAGCTTTCTTAGTGTTGATATATTATCTCTATAGCATTGTTCAAGTACATATTTGAATCTTTTTCTTTTTAAGCCCCCCTGAGCCTTTATTTACAAGGCAGGACTCAAATCTTTGCGACAGCGATGTGGACGATCTTCCGCCATCTTTGATTTTTGATCCCCGCACAACCCGTTGTTCTGAAAGAATTGTGTATATTATCATGATAGTACATGCTTAATAGGCATCAGTTTCACTGCAAGCGTTTTCTATAATGTAAATCGGATTTAAAATTGCCTGGTGTAGTCGAATAAACCGTTAATCTTTAATTTGAGTTTTAGTCTCTAAGTCAGATCACACAAAATGTTACTGCAATAGATCGCTTCATAATTAAGCTTATCGTTCATCGGAATTGTAATATATAGAGAGTGCAGATCTTAGACTGCAAAAAAATGTACAGGTTAATACGAAAAATTCTTGCAATTCATATTTTCTTAAAAAAAAAAATGGTTATAAAATAAAAAACATGTAGCAGGGAGAATTTGGAAGTAATCTTACAGTAAGATTAACTACAAACTGCATCAATTTTATTTTGGTTTGTTGGTTAACCCAGGATTGTTTAAATATGAGGTATTAAATTACTTATTATACAATTTTTTTTAGCAAATTCCTTAAATTTGTTATCAAATTGTAGTAAAAAGTTATAACCATAAAAATAATATCTTTACCTGACAAAAATAATTGTTTCTATCTTTCTTTTGTAAAACCCCATTGATGTAAATAAAGTAATTATATTCAGTGTTCAGCAAGTGTAAGACCTGGGACAAAACGAGAAACATTTGCACCAGCAAAAACTATCAAACATTATCTTGTGGCCCAACATTTCTCTTAAGCCACCTTGTTTGATGGTTTTGGAGGCTGTCAGATGGAGTATCAAACATATTGGATGTGAAAAAGCAAAAAGATTTTAGTCACCCTAGTGGTCCAACAATGTTGGGATTGTTTTTGTGAACAAAAAGAAAACATTTTTTGTTCCACTGAAAACAATGAAATACAGCTTGTTTCATCAATTTATAACCATCTTCTAGAAATAAACAGAATCCAGGCTGGTGAAAGTCCTGTACCCTCAGGTTTGAAAGTGAAAGTTGACGATGAAGAAAATCTTAATGGATCTCAACCAAGCGATGYCAGTGAAGGAGATGTTCAAGAAGGAACACATAACACTGGTCAACTAGAACCACGACGGCAACCTAGAGACCATATTCGCCAACGACGTTTTCCAGTGGAGGAAAACAAACTATACAAGCCAGTCAAACTATTAGAAAAAGTTTATATACCTGCAAAAGAACACCCTAAGGTATAAATATTCAAAATAGTGGAAACTAGCTGTAACCTAGTGTGAAAATATATTATATTAGGTATAAATATTGTTAGGTTGATTGCTGAAATGGTTGCACTAAAAAAATTAATACAAATTTGCTCTTTATAAGTTTTCCTGTTTAATATTGACTTGCAAAGAACATTTTGATTTTGCCSAGTTGGAATTGAAGAGATGATTAGCCATAATGTATGTTCATCTATTTGTATTATAGTTCAACTTTGTAGGAAAGTTACTTGGGCCAAGAGGCAATACRTTCAAAAGGCTACAAAACTCAACTGGTACAAAGATGTCAATATTAGGAAAAGGATCTATGMGAGATAAGGAAAAGGTATGAAAAATTTGCACATAAAAAAAACAAATCACAAAAACCTCATTTTCACTAATAAATGTGTTTTTGTCATTTTTAGGAGGAAGAACTAAAAAGTAAAGGAGAGCCAAAGTATGAGCACCTTAATGATGATCTCCACGTTCTTATTGAAGTTGAAGCACCTCCTGGACAAGCTCATGCAAGGCTAGGCATTGCTATAGAAGAACTTAAAAAATATCTTGTTCCCGTAAGTTAACCACAACAAGCATATTATATAGCRATTGCTAGTGAGAAAGTTTCATAATATTGAACATGTTTGAAAACACTCTGCTGTAAGGTTGATGCATTACAGTGTGACTACTYTAACCAAGGCCACCTTGACAAATTTATTCAACRATGTTCTAGCTTTAAAACAATATAATTTTCACAAAATACAAATTAAATACTTGTAATCATGAAGAAAAATTTGTTTGAAGAATATATATCTGAAAATTGTATTAKTAGAATGCTGGAGCATCACAAAATAATTTTCAGAAAATTTAGTTTGGGTGGCCTTGGTTAGAGTAGTCGCACTGTAAAGCTCAGTATTACCCTGGGTGCTACGTAAGCTGCAATTTTTGTAGTAATTGTATCGCACATGTAAACAGTCTGCAAATTCATGTTGATTTCCAAGTGAAAATTACATAAATTTGCATTAAAATATTGAGCATGTTCRAATTTGCTGCAGTAAATCTGTGAGCTGTTGCTGCGAATTTGCAGGCAATGTGCAGTGTAAACACGCAATTTGGGTTTGTTGTACATGTAGTAAAAATCACTGCTCATATGGCACAACAAATTTACTAGTGAAAACTAGGCTTGAAGTAACGGTGTTTGTGTACCATGAAATTGCAACCTGGCATGCAAAGCATCCTGGTAATGCAGCTTTATAAGGGAATAAAGATGTGAATTCTTGTTCCCAAAAAAGAATAAATTCAGTTCTAAGTTCTCCTTAGAAATTATAATAATTAATGTACCTAACTTTNTTATCAATGTATATGGGAGTCTTTAAGTCTTTAAGTCTTTAACATGCTTCAAAAGTCTTGCGACTGACGATTCGGCTGTTTTGTTCTGAATGACGGAACGGCGTACTATGTTCTGCTGCTTTTGCTTCTCATCCGCCCCTGCTTATTATATTAATGAAAATCGGTCCTAAAACAAAGCAAGTCAGGTTCTGAAGAACTTTTTATCATCGCGTCAGGCCTTAGCGGGGCATTCACTTTTTTATCAATTGACTCATGCATAAAACCGAAACAAATAGAAATGCTGACGTGCACATTTGGAATTCTGTGAAACATTGTAATGTCTTTTCCTATAAAAACTAAACTCGGAAGCTCAGGGTATTTACAGAAGTACATACTTCTGGTATTTATAAATAATGATTTTAAGCATTTGATGATTATAATATCTGAATCTACTCAATATCATGTCATATATTGCTGTAAAATTGTAGTATAGTAAAATTGTATAGTACAGTAAAAACCCGCGTATAAGAACACATATTTTGGCGTTTCAGGCTGATTTGGTTCTTATATAAAGGGTTATAATCAGGCTCTAAGTATTCTTAAAAAACGTTTCTACCAATAGATGAAAACATATACATGCACACAATTTTAATTTATCAAATATACATTGATGTAACAATTTTAATTTAAAAAAATTAATAAATCAATGTGTGCATGAAAAGTAGTGTTAATCTTTGATATGTTTCCATATAAAAGATATAAGAGCAACTTTAATTTTCCAGGCTGAATGTGTTCTTAGTATAAATGGTACTTTATTTCCTAAAATCAGGGTGGGATGTTCTTATACGCGGGTTTTTACTGTATAGTAAAATTGTAGTATAGTAAAATTGTGGTATAGTAAAATTGTTTATAAATCGCTATGCCTGGCACGCTTTTGTTTATGTTTTTGAGATAAAAAGTATGACAAAGTACAAACATAGTGCATAGTATAGGGTACACACTGTAAGGGAATGAGCCGCGCTATAGGTGGATCTTTGCTGACGTCATTGTTTACATTTTATTTTTTTTTCGGCTAAAACCACATACACACTGAATATTGAATGAACTCTGTAAGATTAGCTGTTATTGATAATTTGAGCTAAATCCATGGAATAGATTTGGAGTAATATGGTTTTCAAAACTACGAATTTTACAAAGAATGTATGGGCTCATTAGCGTTTTGCCACACAGCCCGATTTTCCATTGTTCTCAAAACTGATATATCGTGTTTAAAATTGCATGCAAAAAGCTCAAAGTGTTGTGAAATCTGTAGATTTACGAGGTTTTCTAAGTTTTGATTTAAGTTTTCTTATTTCGTGGCTTTTTTCTGTGTGGCAAAGTCTGTGTGGCAAAGCGCTAATGAGCCCATACATTCTTTGTAAAATTCGTAGTTTTTAAAGCCATATTATGCGAAATCTATTAGATACATCTAGCTCAAATTTTCGTGGAGTGCTAATTGAGCTAATATCTGTAAATATTCAGTATAGATTTGGATTTAGCTTGTTTAAAAGCAAAAAAGCTTATGCTAATGAGGAAAATCATGTAAACAAAGATCCACCGATAGGGTATGGCTTTTCTTCCCACGAGAATTTTGCAGAACTTTTAGTGAGGTGTGCACATATCAAGTCAAGAGTTTATTCCTTCTTGGTTTGAAAAAAATAAATAAGCTATAAGTAAATGATCTTGCAATTTTATGGCAAACCCTGGCCGCAAATCTAGATGAGTTTATTGATTATATTAAGTATAGTNTTTGGTTATGAACTCGCGGTGTCGAAAGTACGAACCGTGGGTTCGAGCCTAGCCTGAAATAACAATGTTTCTTTTTCCTCCTTTTTTTTACAGAAATATAGTCGCTTATATCATATTCACTTATTCCTAAAGCAGATTTTTTTCGAGCCATTTTTTTAGTTTTCCCTCTTTGATTTGTGGGGAGGGAAAACTAAAAAATCGACCAAAAAAATCGGCGCTYTAGGAATAAGTGAATATGATATAAGCTACTATATTTCTGTAAAAAAAAAGGAGGAAAAAGATTTTTTTTATTTCAGGCAAGGCTGGAACCCATGGTTTGTACTTTCAACACAGCGACTTCATAATCGAAGTATTGTCGTGTATATACTTTACGCAATCAATAGAGCGGATTTCGTATGAGTGGGAAACGGACGGTACTGTACTGTGACCGTAATCGTACTGTAACCAAATTCTAGTGCCCCATTGGTTCACCAACCCATTGGTTCACCAAAATTGTGAAGGCCAGGTCCGGTAACTGTGCGGTAACCGTACGGTAACGGTGTCCCACTCATACGAAATCCGCTCTACAATCACCGCTGACCAAAGTGACTGCCCCGCTATCGAGCTGTACAATTGACTCTTGCATAAAACCGAAACAAATAGAAATGCTGACGTGCACATTTGGAATTCTGTGAAACATTGTAATGTCTTTTCCTATAAAAACTAAATTCGGAAGCTCAGTGGTTATGTACTTCTGGTATTTATAAATAATGATTTTAAGCATTTGATAGATTCTCTGAATCTACTCATATCATGTCATATATGCTGTAAAATTGTAGTATAGTAAAATTGTAGTACAGTAAAATATAAGAACACATATTTTGGCGTTTCAGGCTGATTTGGTTCTAATATAAAGGGTTATAATCTGCAAAAATCAGGCTCTAAGTGTTCTTAAAAAACGTTTCTACCAATAGATGAAATCATATACATGCACACAATTTTAATTTATCAAATATACAATGATGTAACTATTTTAATTTAAAAAAATTAATAAATCAATGTGTGCAATGAAAAGTAGTGTTAATCTTTGATATGTTTCCATATAAAAGATATATATAAGAACAACTTTAATTTTCCAGGCTGAATGTGTTCTTAGTATAAATGGTACTTTATTTCCTAAAATCAGGGCTGGATGTTCTTATACGCGGGTTTTTACTGTATAGTAAAATTGTAGTATAGTAAAATTGTAGTATAGTAAAATTGTAGTATAGTGAAATTGTAGTATAGTAAAATTGTTGTATAGTAAAATTGTTCATAAATCGCTATGCCTTGCACGCTTTTGTTTATGTTTTTGAGATAAAAAGTATGACAAAGTACAAACATAGTGCATATAGTATAGGATACCCCACACACTGTAAGGGAATGAGTCGCGCTATAGGGTATGGCTTTTCTTCCCACGAGAATTTTGCAGAACTTTTAGTGAGGTGTGCACATATCAAGTCAAGAGTTTATTCCTTCTTGGTTTGAAAAAAATAAATAATCTATAAGTAAATGAGTCTTGCAATTTTATGGCAAACCCTGGCCGCAACTCTAGACGAGTTTATTACTTATATTAAGTATAGTTTAAAACACGAGAGAGTGTTTTAAACGGCTTCAAAAACTCCAACACTAATTTGAAACTCAAATCCGTTAAAATTCTTGGAGAAACTGCCGTACAAATATGTTCTGAGATAAATAGGGCAAACAGGTCATTCGCGAATCACTTTACAAAGCACTCTTGTCATCCCACATTGAATATACGCATAAAGTAAAATAGAACGGCTCTTGGCTGTTCACTGCAATCGGTTGACATCCTGCATTGGTCATGATCCGGTTTCAAACCTGAGACCTTTGCTAGGGTCATGGACCTTTAGTATAGTTTACAACATGAGCGGCCGTGTTGTATGGGAATTACAATCTCGAGC